CCAAATAACTTCGTTATTTGGCAGTTTATGTAATCACTACCAAAACTCGAGTCATTTAGAAGCACAATCGTCGTAAAGCCATCGGATAAAACCGTTATTGTATGCTACGCTAGCCAATAACTCTTATGAATTATTTTACAAATAATTCGAGTTATTGTCTGCTACGCATACAATAACTATATAGTATATCATGTATTATTTAGACCCTGGGGTTTCAATCAGTGGTTATGTTAACCTGATCTAAAATAAACAAAGTTCGTGTCTTCAAATTAGTTTTTTAAACACTATTATAGGTTGCTTATTTGTTAATTTTTTTTATGCGCTTACTTTATAAGATATTTCTATATAAGGACGTGAAAAATTCCTTATAAACTTCATAATTCGAATAAAGATACTTTTATATTACAGCTGTTTTCAAAAAGATGTGGAAACCGATATCCATATACCCATGTGGGGAATCGAAGAATGTGGAAATTCTGCTTGGTAAAAATTAAAAATCTGGAAAAAAGGTATAGTGATCTGCGTCTTACACAAATTTTTGAAAATGGCTGTAAAAAGGAAATGCACTCTACTCTCATTATAACGAACCTTTTGTGCTGGGAAATTCTATCTGTTATAATAAAAATCCATTATTATATTATAATGGATTTACTCATACTCATAGGATATAATCCACTATAAGAATAATGGTTTTTACTATTAAAATCATATATAATCCAGTATAACAGGATTTATATATACAGTAAATCACATATTTATATTTGACTCCAATTATTTAATAATTTATTTGACTAAGTGGTTAAACTTTTAGTTAAAAGCCTTAAAATATCAAATTTTATTTGCAGCTACATTCAAAGCTTGATATAGCGAAGTTCACATTCTGATCTGATATCTTTGCTATATCAAAAGACAAATTTATATGTCTGTATTTAGGTTATAAAAAAAATTTGTTACTTTAAAATATTCACTATGCAAAAATTTGTAAACTCAAGCTTTGATTACATAATGTATAAACACAAATAAAAAAAAAAACGAACTAATTTTAGGTTAAATCACTACATTCATGTGCTAGAGTCTTTATTGGTTGTTCTGTTTTACACTTAATATCACATGTTTATTTAATAGCCAATTAGATATCATGTTCAGTATAAGATATCAAATAGTATCTATTAAATAAGTAAACTTAATCTGCATTCATTATAAGCATAGGTATTATAAATATTCGTAATATTAAGGGAAATTTATTATTTAAAATTTAGTTCATTATAATAAGGGATCCGGTTTAACAGAGTCCATTATAATGAGAGTAGAGTGTATTAAATATTTATAATAAAATATAATTTTTACAATGCCAAAAAAATTTTAAACACTTTCAACCTAAAGAATCTACATATTAAAAGAAAAAAGTTTTGTTAATTATAAATAAAAAAAAAAATAAGTACAAAATTTATATAATTTTAGTAATTATAATTTTAATAATATATAAAAATTTTAAAATATTAATAAAATAAATTTATATTTTTTTTATTTTATAATTTAAATAATAAATACCTGGGTTGAAGTTGCCTAGTTAGATACCTTTGAAAAATGATATTTTTGTTCTATTAAAATAAAATCATTAACGTTAATACTGTGCCACCAACATTCACGAGGTGCCCGGAGCAACGCAAGGGGCTATAATTATGTGTAATTATACGATTTAAATAACAATTGCAGGCGGCTTCGCCTCCCGTTTTAATAAAGGGTTATTATATGATAATAATTTTGGATGGTGTCTGACAAATTAATGGTTTTCATGTTTCTAAATTAATTCGGATGAAATGAGAAACGTTACTTAATACTATTAATACCATATAAGTACGAAATAACGTGCAGGGGTATAATTTCAAATTTTGGCCTAATTAAGCCTAATTCGGGCCATTATTCAAATAATGTCCCTGTGCGTTATTTCGCACATACGGTATCCCTTTTTCCCGACAAGACTTGTTTATGACAGTCTATTTCACCGATAGAAAATTTTACTAAATGATTTTTTCCCGATAAAACCATTTCCCTGACAACATTAACTTTTGCAAGAAGTTTACCAACAATCTTTTTCACCGGCAAAACTCTTTCTCCGAACTTCTGTATTCCGACAAGAATTTTTTCTGACAGCCTTTTTCCCGACAAATATTTGATCTATTTCTGTTAAAGAGCTTTCAATAATATACTTTAAAAGAAATAAATATCAGGAAAATGTATCATTCGGAAAATGATATTTCTGTAAAATGCGACATACGGTTTTTTACATTATTTTTGGGACGTCTGGTAAAAATTGACCGAATGATTATTTGGCCGATTCGATAAACTGTTGATTTGGGCGTGATTAATAATATAACGATAATGATATATAGTCAAACCTCTATAAACAATTTTTTTTTAAAAACTATTGTTAAATATAATAAATTTGACCTCTATAATTAGTACACTTCTCTATAATCACGCTTTTTTGCATCCCAAGAGTGTGATTATAGAGAGGTTTGACTGTATATTTTTTGCTATTGTATTCTGAACGATACTACAATGTCAACAAATCCAAAATTAATTTTTCGTTTGAGTCATGTTTAGTGTGTTTAGTCTGTACAGAAATTTTATGACGAAGATTGTTCTTGCCGAGCAACAGATTTGACAAAAAACAAGAAAGGTTCTGAATATAAGATAAGATTTCATAATGAATATATTACACAGGGAGGCGCTAATAAAAACAAAATTATGATGAATTTTTAATCAGTGAAAACATTGAAACGATTGATCTAAGAACCATTAGCTTGTTCGTCTATGGTAAACATTTTAAAAGTGCCTAGTTTGTCTGAAATATCCAACTTGTTTGAAGTAATACTGTAATAGCAACTTAATCTAGTAAAATCTGAAGCGCAAAAATATTGACATCAATATACATTATCTCTGTCATTAGAAAGATGCACATTACGCAATCGTTTATTGCCGAAATCAAAAACTTATCGAATCGCCAAAACAATCATTCAGTCAATTTTTTACTAGATGTCCAAAAACTAAATGAAAACTGCTGTGACATTCTGAGAAGTAAATGATTTATCGGGAAAATTTATAATCGATTAAATAAATAATTCGGAAAAAATGAGATATCGAAATCATGCCTTGTTAGTAAAGGTTTGTCAGTATTATGGCTTCGGTAAAATGGTATTTCAGTGAAATTGTAACCGCTACTAGATAGTAAATATTTACCAACTTGAATAATCTATTTCAAACACCTCAGGTCATAAATATTCATTTTTCACTTATATTTATATTAAATTAACATAATTAACATGAAATTAATAATGAATTAACATCGTTCTACTACTCACATGACCGATCAAAGTACTAAGTTCGTTTCGTCCATCGGCTAAAGTATTTTAGCTCTTCTAATTTAGGATTTTAGAATTTTTACAGATAAAAGGTATCAAGTACAAAACTTCTTAAGTATTTGTGATTTATCGAGTTACATTAGAACACTTACAAAAAATTGATTTTTAGGATGACAGAAGCCACATTGAAATAGAGTCTTGGAATGAAGAATCCCCAAAATGGATTTTTTTTAAAAAATAAATTTATCAGGATAAGTATAAAGAAGACTATTTATACTGAAATATTAATTTTTAATTTTAAAAATATAAAAGTTATTTTAAGCAGAATAATAAATCGTTAGAACATTACGATATGTAAAGAATAATAAAACTTGACCGATTGACATAAATTAATTTATAATAGCTAAAAATGGTTATTTAATCTCAGACTCTTGGATTTAATTGAATTAAGTGTCGTCAATATATTGTAATTAATATAATTATAGATTTCAAAATTCCGGAAGAATAAATTGTTGTATTATTGCTCATAATTACACATTCATCAGGCTATTGTCATAATTATATAATGCAGTCACATTAAACCATTAAACACTACGTTTATTCATTATCATTTTTTATACTATACTATTATTAAACTATGCACATCAGCATTAATAATATAAAATAAAGACGGTATCTTTATATGAAAAATTATAAATACCAACTGGTATTAATTTATTGCTGTGTTGATTATCTCTCTCTTTTCTTCCGATTTTTTTATATTCGTTGAATTTCAGGATCAGAACTGGCAAGTATTGCATAAATAATGTGATCTACCACCTTATATTTACCAAAAAAGGATATTTTAAACGTGGTTTTAAAAATTATTTAAGAGTTATTTCATTTTTTTTAAAATATCGTCTGACGCGTATCTTCTGGTTTAATTTTCGTATACTAGATAATTTATAATTTGTCATCAGATTTAATCAATTTCTAAAATTTTTAAAAAATGGCTGAATGTTCAACGCCATATTTAATTAATCTTCACGAGAAAGGTGATGATAAAGATATTTCTGATATGTCTTTTGCGAATCAAGGTCTTGATAAAACCGATCAGTGCGTTTCTAAGGTACAGCATGATGGAAATTTAGCTGGCGAAAATAATGAAATAGAAAGATATTATACTCCTGTACAAACTGTTCGTCGGCGTGTGGATCTCAAGGATGGTTCGACCTATTTTGATACTCCTAGACCTTGGTTACCCGAAAATTCTGGGAATCATGGACATCTACTTGAATATGATTCACCTACACCTAAATCATCTTGGCCTCGTCCAGTGGATCTAA